CCTTTCCCACCTCTGGTAACCTCAGTTCTGTTCTTTCCTTTTGAAAGTTCAACATATTATTGTGATCGCTGTATTTTTTTTTTTCAATTTATTTATTTTTAGTTTCCACATATGAGTGAGGACATGTGGTATTTCTCTTTCTGTGCCTGGCTTACTTCATTTAACTTGAGTTTCTCTGAGTTCATGTTGCTGCGAATGGCAGTATTTCATTCTTCTTTATGGCAGAGTAGTATTCCACTGTGTATATATACCACATTTTCCTTATCCAGTCATCCAATGATGGGCATTTAGGTTGGTTCCAACTCTTGGCTATTCTAAATAGAGCTGCTACAATAAACATGGGGGTGCAGGTATCCTTTTGACATGATGATTTCCATTCCTTTGGCTATATACCCAGCAGTGGAATTGCTGGATCATATGGCAATTCTATCTGTAGTTGTTTGAGGAACCTCCATACCATTTTCTGTAATGGGTGTATCAATTTACAGTCCCACCAGCAGTGTCGGAGGGTTCCCCTTTCTCTGCATCCTCGCCAGCATTTGTTATTCTGTCTTTTTGATAGTAGTCTAACTGGGGTGCAATGATATCTCAGTGTGGTTTTGATTTGCATTTCTTTGATGCTTAGCGATATGCATTTTTTCATGTGTCTGTTGGCCATTTGTATATCTTCGTATGAGAAATGTCTATTCAGCTCCTTTGCCCATTTTTAAATTGTTTTTTTTTTTTTTTTTTTTTTTTTTTTTTTTTCCGTGTCCGGCAACGGATCGCAACCCTCAGTGTTGCCCCCGTACCGGACCGGGGACCGGCAACGGGATCGCAACCCTCGGTGTTGCTCCCGCGCCTCGCTCAGCCAGTGAGCGGGAACCGGTCTGTATGTGGGATCCGAACCCTCGGGTGGGAGCGCCGCCGCGCTTCCCAAGCGGCGCACTCATCCAGTGCGCCACCGGGCCGGCCTTTTTTGTTTGTTTTTACTGTTATTTGAGTTCCTTGTATATTCTGGATATTGATCCTTTGGATGCATAGTTTGCAAATATTTTCTCCCACTCTGTAGCGTTGTCTTTTCACTCTGTTCTTTTGCTGTGCAGAAGCTTTATAGTTTGATGTAATCCTGTTTGTTTTGAGATTCATCTACGGTTTTGTATATATCAGTAGTTTATTTCTTTTCTTTGATGAATAGTAACCATCTTATAGATCCTAGTCAAGAGCCCTCTGGGTTCTCCAAAAGACAGAGATCTTCACAGGACTGTGGAATGAAGAATAGCTCACCCAGTTAGTGGGAATTTTGTTCCTATTTTACTTACAACATAAGTCTTGATGTGAATAACTGTGTCCCACGATCTACTTTTATTTTTGACCCTGAAGGTTAACATTAGCACAAGGCCTTCCACTTTACCTAGAGCAGCCAATTGTGTGTATGTGTGTGTGCTCTCTCATGCATGCATTTGCTGTGGGAGATGTGTTTGGTGGTGGAGATTTAACTGCTTAACAGAAAGCAGTTTTTCAGTAGCTTTCTTTGAGAGCTATCAAGATTTTCTTCCTAGCCATTTTTATTAATCCAGAAGTCATATGTTCATGTTACCTGCTCAGTTCCTGGGTCAGGCTGTTCACTTGATCACTGGAGAAAGCTCTAAGGAGGCCAAAGATATCTTTAACTACTTATATACTGAAAACTTTCCTTTGCGATCTGAGAGGCCCACTTTTATTTCAGCCTGTCATTTCCTCTTATGTCAACATTCCAATTATGTGTGCTTTTGAATTCTTGACGTAGCAATATTAGGAAATGAAGTGAGTTTAAGGGTCAAGAATAGTTTGATGAAAATTGGTGACTTGATTTTTATACCGTTTTCTTTACTCTTATTTTTTATTGTTACAGAAGAAGCTACTATGGAGGAAACTGGGCCAGTTTTAGCTTTTCAGGACTGTTGTCCTGGCTAAAGGAATATCAGGTAAAGTTCTTATCCATCTTTTAATTTGACAGGTTGTATTTTGTGTCACATAATAACCCCGCATTGAAGAAAACCCTAAGCTTGATCTATACTACAGGGTTATTCACTGTAAAATAAAAAATATTCACAGTCATCTTTCAGCTAATGTTTTTTGATATCACTTTTTATATATAAATAGATATGTTGGTGGAAGAGTAAATTGTATATATGAGGGTACTTTGAAAAGTTCGTGGAAGAATAGAATTAAAAGATAATACAAATCTTTCTGTGAGGTTTTTGAAGTATCCTCGTACTTGATACCATTCTTAACTACTCTGTATGCCCAAATATAAGGCAAAATTTTTCCCCTAAAATCATCTTTCAGATGAAATACCCCCATTCTTATAAAATCTCACAAATTACCAGTTTATCTTTGTCAGTATATTTTGAACCAAAAACAAAAAAATACAACTATTTGGGGTAGATACGTTAATTTGAAATGTCAGTGGTGGTTTTGCATGTTTATACAAGTCACTTTACAGAATCAGTAAAAAGAAATAGCAAGAGAAGAGATTTAGTATAAATTCAGTAATTTTTTCCTAAGGGTAGGATCTCACTACTACAGCTGTTGAATACTATTATAAAGAAGCTTTTTAGAGATCACTTAGGAATTATGGATATTTGGTTATGTTATGGAGTTTACCAATTTTTATAAGATTTTTAAAAAACTGTCCTAATTTTATGCAAATGGGTACATGTGGCTTGAAATGAAATTCCTGCTGAGAGCATCATACATGACATCAGAAACTGCTATATCTCAGAAGAGTTTAGACTGTTGGGAAATGAGGATGATATATTCCAGAAAATTGTATTCAGTTAGCTAAGAATTAAGATTGCTAAGACTTATTAAGCACTTATGTGCCAAGCACCATACTAAGCGCTATAGTTGTATTGATTGATTTAATGGTGTTTGTGACTCAAAAAGTGACTCTCATGACGACAAAGGCATTAATGTTGAAGATGCAGTTTAAATATCATTGCATAAAATCGGAGTGTGGAGAAACACAAGCAAGATTTGTAAAGTAGCATATCATGTAAGTACTCAAACTATGTGTAAGTCAAGAGAGTAAATGTTATAAGTAGACATTTAACTGTTTTCTCTGTATGCCTAAAATATTCATATATTTAACTTGATTAGAAACTCTACTTTGTACCTATCTTTGGGAAGTATGTGTGAGGGTCACCTTATATTTAGGCATATTTAGTACTTCCATGAGAAGATTTTGGCTAGATTATCAGAATAACAACAACAAAAAATATCCTGTCTGAATGGAAAACTTCTGGTGAGCGAAGAGATTTTTAAAAATAAATTTTGGGCTGGCCTTGTGGCGCACTCGGGAGAGTGCGGCACTGGGAGCGCGGCGACGCTCTTGCCATGGGTTCGGATCCTGTATAGGACTGGCCGGTGCGCTCACTGGCTGAGCGCGGTGCGGGCGACACCACACCAAGGGTTGTGATCCCCTTGCCGGTCACGAAAAAAAAAAAAGAAAAAAAAAATTTTGGTAGTAGGATTAGATTTATTAAAATAAAATTATTTTTGTAGATGTTTCTTTTATTTTAATGCTTGTTTTACTCCAGGATCTTGACTATGTCACTGTATCCTTTCCCCCTTCACTTTCCCTCCCTAGTCCACAGTTCTTTTCTCAGGCTGGTGACCTTAAGTGTACACATTCAGAGTTCTTGTACTTCCTCTTCTACTTGTGGGATGTTTCATACTATCTAATATTACACTTGATGATAAGAGTTGTCTGTCACTACTTTTCTTTAGTTTAAAATGTTAAATTTGGGACAATTAAATCTTTTAAAAATAATTATTGTCCTACTTTATGAAATTTGTAAGTTTAGAAATTTTCTAGGACAAATTTCCTTTAAACAAAGTATTGTGATTATATTTCACTACTGGTTACTTGAGTATATATAACACATTTTCAAGAAGTTTTCCCTGAGAAAGATGTGTATTATCAAACAGCTTAAAATTTTACACAGATTAAAAATTGATACTTGGCATTTGGAAAAGTTATATCTTGACATGTTCGAAAATCCCCTGTATTCAAATACTACTGTATCATGTAATTTTTTCCATAAAATGTAATTAGAACATTTTAAGGAAATGTTTACTGAACGTTTTCAGTCCTTAGTTGAAAGGGTAAACTTTCAACCCTTAGTGAGTATTTACGTGCCTTATTACACATTCTTATTTTGACTGTTTTTCTTAAAATATTGAGGGATTATTATAAAATCCTTAGTTATATTGTGCTGAGTACTTTTCAAAAATACTTTTATATATAATCAAAATTTGACATGACTAGTGACCAGCCTTAAAAGATGTGAAGATAAGGAGAATGAAGGAAATTTTTGACCCCACTGTTTTGAAAACAAAATGTGAAAAACACTTTTTATTAACAACTAATATGTACAATAGATGTGCTTGATTCTTAGCAGGTAGAGGGTTAATTGTCCTAGTTCTTAAGCAATGTTAAAACAGCCACATCCAAATAACCATATCAAAATGTCACATATCCTGATAGAGATCTATAAACCAGAGCTAGTTTTTGATAGTATAAATTTTACGCTTTGTTTTCCTATTCTTCCTTTGAAGTTGGCACATTCTGTTGGAGTTGCTTCAGTGACTCTGAAGTAATGTATTTGAATTTGATGGCAAGAAAGGAAAAGCATGTATTTAGACGAGAAAAATTTTCTTAGAAAATTACAGGTTCACATTGCTCAATTTAATTAAAACTTCTCCTCTGTGTTTTATTTAGGAAAATAGTGACATTGTAAATGAAAGCCCAGTGTGGCAAGAGCAGATACTTGAAAATGAAGAAGCCATTGCTCTTAGCAGGAAGGACAAAACTATTCAACATGTGGAAGTATTTTGTTATGCCAGGTATGAAAAGTATTTATTTAGGATAAACTAAGTTAATAACTTCTTTTTCACACTTCAGAAGAAGCAGCCACCAATAAGGATTTATATGGCATTGGTCGCTACAAGTCAAATTGATATGCTGGTTTTGCCTTTTTTAAAACATAATTTTGTGTTTTCTCTGTTTAGGTAATAACAATAAACTCTTACACTAATGCTTTACAATTTATCAAGCTTTTAAAAATACATTATCTCATTAAATCTTTAGATTCATTCAGTGCAGCAAAATGGAAGATTATAAATTTGAATTAAAAAAAATTGAGTGGTCATAACATTTGGGTACATATTTTTGTAAGTTAGAAAAGTGGGAAGTAAGAATGTTTTAAGGTGCCTCCCTCTCAGTGAGAGATTGTTTTAAAACAATTGGAATAGTTTATTTTTTCAAATGACATATAGTTGACAGGTCGAAAGGTAACAATTATATAGTTAAGTGCAAACATTCAAGTAGTTATAGAGTCTAGAGGTTTAGAAAATCAGACTGTCAGGCATTTTAATAGTAATTAAAACGTACAGTCAGTACACCAGACATTCTTCAGGATACTCTGTCATTTTACACTTCCTTGTTGTGGTAGTGTGATAAGTATGACCTGAGCCTGTGAAAAGTTTGGGGACTTGAGCTTGATTTCTTAACCTATGTTCATATCTTTCAGGTAACCAGCATTCCCCCCCACAATTATACAGTTGATGTTCTATGATTTTCTGCAAAAGCACAGCCTTTGAAATGTCAGATATAGATTATAATTTACATGATGCTAAATGCCATTCAGTATGAAAAGGTACAGCTCACTGACATTGTTCCGAGCCAGTGTAGAAAGATTTACAACAGAAGGTGATTTCAACAGAAAAGTCATCTGCTTTAATGAAACCAGGAATAAATATTTGGTAACTTTCTTAAGTGATATTGTGTGCCCATGAATATTACTTGACTATAGTGTAGTGGCAGTCACAATGTGGTCCTTTGACAGGTACCTTTTGGTATTTCAAGGCCTCTGATTTCTCTATTTTTTATGACAATTGAGGTTCGTGGTTTCTAATGGCTGAACTGACACATTTTGAATGCAGAGGAAATCATCTCATTTTCAGTTCCTGATCTCTTCAGTTTCATTTTTGGAACTTCTCGAAGTGAGAAAGTAAAAGGTTGATGGTGTAAGGTTTGCTTTAAAACAGTGAAATGGGGGCCGGCCCTGTGGCTCACTCAGGAGAGTGCGGTGCTGGTAGTGCCGAGGCTGTGGGTTTGGATCCTATATAGGGATGGCTGGTGCGCTCACTGGCTGAGTGTGGTGCAGACAACACCGTGCCGAGGGTTGCGATCCCCTTACCGGTCAAAACAAAACAAAACAAAACTCTGCTATTTTCAGTGCCAATTAGAGTGTGGAACAAGAGGTGAACTGGGATAATGTTTTATGTCTTCATTCACTTGGGAAAGTTAGCTGGTTATTAATGTCATAGTAAGCAGGAAGAGCCTTGAGAGCATGCAGGGAAGTCGAGGACTGTACAGAAAATCAACTTGTCTATAAGTGCTAACATATGGGTAGACATGAATAACAATACTTCACTTAGCCCCAGCCAGACTGTGGCATCCTTAATCTTTTGAATCATGGCAACAATGTGGAATTATATGAAAGGGGCTGGGCCAAAATAGCTGTTACAGTGATTTACTTTATATGAGAGGACATCAAAAACCTTATGTAATACATATTTCTGACAACCTTATTTTTTGGTTTTTCTACCATAGTAGTTTAAAGCAGCAAATAGAAAAGGGGTATCTGCTAGCGGCTGGCACACTGAGAACCACATTGAGACCAGGGTTATAGTCCTGCCTTCACCATTCACCTTGCTGTATGATACTGAGCACAGGATGTCTCCACTTTGGGTCTTTGTTTCACCATCAGTAAAATAGGAAAGGTTTGGACTAAGTGATCTTAAAAGTCCCTCTGGGCTCTACATGGTTTTAGTTGATAGACTAACAAAGACGACGACAGCGTCAGGAAGCTGAGAGTATACTTTTGGCCATTTAGTGCAGACGTAAATGGCTTTTCGTACTAGAAAATCCCTCAGGGCCATCACTATATTATAGTACAGTATAACAATTGATGATCATAATTATATCCCAGTGTCTTCAGGCAAAAGTTAGATAATGTTCTCTATCCTTCACTTGAAAATGTAGGGGGGGTTGAAGTACATTTTAGAAAGATGAGTGTAAAAAATGGTTAGAATAAAAGATTTATCATTTTAAGAAATGAGCTTTAGTTATCTAGGAAATTCTCTCATTTCCTCCTTAGTAAGTAACGTTATCACTATGTGGTAGGTCTTTGACATTCCTGAGGAGTAATCACAAAATCTTCGTGAATAACCATTTGTAAATAATGAAAAATAGGGTACGGGTTCTGGTTTTTTGTTGTTGCTTTTTTACGTACATAGTATTGATGTTAATATTACGTTTTGTGGACATAAGTTTTGTGTGTGTGTGTGTATTTAGTTCTGTACAATTTTGTCACATGTAGGTTCATGTATCCACTGCCACAATCAATTTACGGAATAATTCCATCACCACAGGGATCCCTCTCCTGTTGCCTTTTTGTAACCACACCTTATGTCCTCCTTCCCCCTCCTTCCCCCATCCCCACCCCCACCATCCCTAACTCCTGGCAACCACTAATCTGTTTTCTGGTTCTATAACCTGGTCATTTTGAGAATGTTAGATAAATGGAACTTTATGTATAGTCTGTAACCTTTTGGCATTGGCTTTTTTCACTCAGTCTAATTCCCTGGAGATTCATTCAGGTTGTTGTGTGCATGAATAGTGTGTTCTTTTTTTATTACTGAGTAGTATTCCATGATGCAGATGTATTATAGTTTGTTTAATCATTCACCCATTGAAAAACATATAGGCTGTTTCCAATTTTTGGCTATTACCAATAAAGCTGCTATGCAATTTTGTGTACATGTTTTTATGTGAACATTTCTTTGGGATAAATGATTTTCTGGGATAAAAATTTTCATTTTCCTGGGATAAATAACCAAATGTACAACTGCTGAGTCATATGGTAATTGTATGTTTAGTTTTAAAAGGAATTGCCAAACTGTTTTCCAGGAGACCTATACCATTTTACATTCCCACCAGAAATGCATGAGTAATCCAGATACTCCACATCCTCACTTACATTTGGTGACATCACTTACTTATTTTAGCCATTCTGATAGGTGTGTAGTGATATCTCATTGTAGTTTTAATTTGCATTTCCCTGATGGCTGATTTTGAATATCTTTCCTTGTGCTTATTTGCCTATCTATATTTTTTTTGGTGAAATGTCTGTTCGTGTCTTTTGCTTGCTTTTTAATTGGACTTGCTCTTTTAGTGTTGAGTTTTCAGAGTTCTTTATCTATTTTAGATTTGTGCCTTTTGTCAGATATGTGATTTAAAAGTATTTTTCCCAGTCTGTATGTTGTCTTTTCATCTTTAAACAAGATATTTTGCAGAGCAAGTATTTTTAATTTTGATGAGGTCCAATTTATCAGGTTTTTTTTTTTTTTTTTTTTTTTTTTGTGGATTATGCTTTTGGTGTCAAGTCTGAGAACTCCTTGCCTAGCTATAGATCCAGAAGATTTTCTTGTTTTTTAAAGTTTCATGTTGTACATTGAAGTCCCTCATCCACTTTGAGTTAATTTTTGTATAAGGTATGATGTTTGGGTTGATGGTCTTTTTTTTTTTAATTTAGATGCTTCAGCACCATTTGTTGAAAAGGTTATTCTTCCTCCATTGAATTACTATTGCACCTTTGTCAAAAATCAGTTGGCTGTACTTGGGTGGGTCTATTTTTGGATTCTTTATTTGGTTCCATTGATCTATATGTCTTTTCCTCTATCAATACCACACTATATTATACAGCTGTATAATAGACCTTAATATCAGAATGATTCTTCCCAATTTATTTTTTTTGTTGAGATTGTTTTAGCTATTCTGGAGTTTGTGCCTTTCCATATAAATGTTTTAATAAGCTTGTCTATGTCTAAAAAAACATGTTGCTGGGATTTTGATAGGAATTACATTAAACTTACAGATCAATTTAGGAAGAATTGACATCTTTATTATTTCAGTCCTTCTAGTTTATGAACATGGTATGTCTCTCCATTTATGGAAGTTGTCTTTGATTTCCTTCAACAGAATTTTTAATTTTCAGCATACTGTTCCTATACATGTTTTGTTAATTGTATACCTCAATATTTATTTTTTTTGGAGCAATCATAAATGGTATTATCTTTTTAATTTTGGTTTTCACATGTTTATTATTAGTATCTAGAAATGCAGTTGATTTTTAATGTGTGGATCTTGATTGTATCCCGAAATCTTGCTGAATTCTTTAGTTCTGGGAAGTTTTTTGTGTAGATTACTTGAAATTTTCTACCTAGGGAAACATGTCTTTTGCAAAGAGGAACAGTTTTGTGTTTTCCTTTCCACTGATTGTTTTTTCTTTTAAGAATTTTTTCTGTTGAGAATCATGTGTTTTCTGTTCATAGTCATACACCACGGGTTAATTTATTGTGTTTTCTGCTTATCCCTAGTCTCACTTAATGAGCCTTTTTTTTTTTCCTTCCAGAAAGGAAGTTATTTTCATTTCCTGAGGGCTTTGTAATTATACACTAATGTCGTGCAGTTATTTAGGGTCTCTCATTTGCTAAATATATTATTCTTGCATGCTACTCTCTCAGCATATGCAATTCAAATCCACAATCTGGCCAATGACAAATTACCAAAAGTCCTACGCTTTAGTGGTCATTCATGCCAAGAGTATACTGTATTTAAGTTGTATGAAACAAATAGAAATCAAGCTTGAGTCCTCGGTGCACTACATATATGGAATATTGTTTTGAATGTTTTTGTAAATTTTCAAAATATCACGTAAAGACAACTTTATAATGATGTGAAGGCTGAAATGCAAGGGTACTTCAAAAAGTTCATGGAA